TACCAAGATTCATGCCAAAACTTAGGCTCCCATACGTTGATGACATATTCGTCATCTTGAGGAAGTCGGAACGTTTTGGAAATGACAGCAAGACTGCTCAAATCATATAGAATCTAAGTCGCCCACAAACCGATCGCCTGTCTAAGAGGACTTCTGTCTAAACCCAAGGAGAGAACAGTGGAGAAGGACAAGAGCAGCGTCATCTACAAAATAAACTGTAATAACTGTTCAAAACACTATATCGGACAAACTGGGAGAAAACTGTCAACAAGGATCCGTGAACACCAATGGGCAGTCAGGAGACATGACCCACTATCGTTGATCTCCCTCCACGAAGATCAAGAAGGAAATCAATTTGACTTCGAAACACGCCAGAGAATTTCTCGAGGCCTGGCACTCTTCAATCAACTCAATANACGCCGTGACCTGAGAACGGACGGAAACCGCAATCGGGACGCAAGGACAACCTCCTCCCCTCCCACCCTCAACCCCTCGCATCAGTTCAACGGCGAACCGAGTCGAACACGGTGAGAACAGGGGACGGAACTAATCGGTGGAAAAGAACACATATCTAAACGAACGGGTACAAGCAGAACACTGCCAGTTCACAAGCACTGATGATGTTACCTCGGCTGGTGATGAAACGTTTGTAAATACATTTCCAAGCTCGGCGAACAGGTGAAATGGAATTCAGTTCACCCGAACTACGGCAAGCAGTTTTGAATTTTTTGTCAAATAAAAGTACTTTTTGAGCGAAGAAGAAAGTTTCGGCTAGGTGGGTTTGACTGTTTGTTCCCCCACTTCACCGTCCGAGTACGTTATGTCATTGTAAGGTGATAGTGTGTACTTTAAACGAGAATGGGCAAACCGAGTGGTACCTGGCCTCGGTTGAATCATGTCAAAATGGATCGATTAATCGGTCACCGTGCTCAAGCGTGAATGTCGGAATGAATCATTCCATGAACGGTTTCAGTCTAGGCCCTCAGTAGCCTAGTGAGTAAATTCCATTGAGGCAGAGTTCCCCTCGAATAATACGAATCCTTCTGGGCCAAATGCAGTTTCCTACATATTTCTGGCATTGAAAGGCACACTTAACAAGATACTTACCAAGGGTACAAAGATACACTGAAAGAATTAACAGGATTTCACCTGAATAAAACGATTACATTTGAACTCATTCACTAGCTAAAAGAAATGATATTTTTTCTCTGTAACTCACGGATTGACTATTGCGTTCTATCCTCAGTGCCAATGGTAATAGCTTGTCACCTACAACTTCTCCCTTTGTTACTCAGTTTCATTGCATATTTTATCATCCTTGTTGCATCATTTCTTATCCGCAGCCTGATCACAGCTGTGCGATCCTTACAGTTCAATAAGTGATATGTGAGGTGGTAAGAGTAACTCAAATTTATCCGTGATCCCATAAGAGATGATAGCTTTGTGTCGGGTGCATCAAGGGATATTCAGTAGAGCTACGCACTGTATTGGACCCATGGTTGTCTTAACAGTGATCAACGACTTCCTCCAGGATATAATCCTCTGTTGATCTATCGACCCAGATTTATCACAGGAATACTACATTTATCGGAACAATTCAGACTGGCTACCGTGTATTTTGACAACGTGTATCATCCTCAACAAAGGCATTTGTGATTCATCAGAACACAGGTTAGCAAGCAAGCTCATTTTCGGGGTAAATCAACTGGCTAAATACAGTCTATTGGGTGACAAATTTACACAACCCCAGTAGGAGTCGAAGAACATTGCCTAACAGAGCAGCCAACATCCCGTTTAGAAACAACCAGCGATGAACAAGGAACGCAGGTTCTGTGTTGCGTTCGAAAAAGAGATTGCATAATTCTATTGCAACTCTTTAATCAACAGTAAACTTCATGGAACTGCAACTGATAAGAAAACTGCCCTGACAAGATATAATGAAAGGAAAGAATGTTCAGATGAGTACATGAATATACATCTTTCTTTACATCAGGTTTTTGTTTTAGCACAATATCATCATCTTATTTATTGTTATTATTATTATTATTAAACATTCCTAATCTCCTAGATGACGCATCGCTCCATAACTGATTCTCCTGTGGCGATTCTTTGCCAACGCGTAAGCAGCATTGGATTCTTAATCTAAAGTTCACACGATCACCGGTCAACGTACCGGGTTGGGACGGTTGGAGGACGGGAGGACGAACAGTCAAACCCCACCCCGTCGAAATTTTCGTTCTCGCTCACTAACTCGCACAAAAAGTACTTTTGCTTGTCTATGGAGTAATCAATTCTCTCCGACAGGACGGGGTTTCGATAGGCCCGATCCAATCAGTGACGTGTGACGGCAAGAGAACCAACCACTTTGTTGGGTTTCTGTTAGAATGCGATTGGTTGAATTCATTTGCAAATACAATAGATTCAATTGAAGTTGAAAGCTATAGACTGTGATAAATGTCAGATATACTGCGCGTCTCTCCCTTTTATAATCCACGTTTGACTGGCACTACCAATAAATACCTGCACTGTTTGCAACTGTCTTTCAACTGGGATCATTAGGATGCGCATCGTGGGACCAGGTTCGGTGATAATCTTGACAGAACAGTAGACTTGCGTTAAATTAACGGCTCTTTGGGAGTCATATTTTGCTATATTGGCTGTCGATCGG